AGCCATGCTAAGGACGGCGCCCAGGGCCCGCAGCTGGGGTGGGAAAGCAGGCAAGAGGCTCCCCGGCCAGGGGTGTGGACCCAACCACGGACCTTCGAGGGCCTCTCCATGCACCCTGTTCGCGGGCGCTCTCGGCGACCTGTGGGGGCGGGGCACACAGGAAATTCAACTGAAGGCCTTGGCTGTAGTCCTAGGGCATGCGTGTTTGCTAGCTGGTGGAGACGGGCAGCCAGTAAGTCAATTTATTCTAGATGGAAAACAGAAAAAGGAAGTCTGGAAAGAGGAAGAGGAAGAAAGACCGGTGATAAGATGGTTCTGCAGAAGGCATCCGCTGCCAAGCTCCAAGACCTACCTGAACATGAGCCCTGGGGCACGCATGGCAGATGAGACTCCTACATACTGTCCTCTGATCTCCACATACGACACACAGATAAATAAAAATGCAGTATAAAAATAAACAAACACAACAGCCCACAGGCTGCCTGGCTCTGGAAACCCTTTCTCTGGCGGCAAGGCTCTCAAGATGGATACCAGCAACATGGAGGCTTGCCTGTCTCCACCCAACATTAAGCCTGGACTTCAGTGACTATGGTGCCCGTCCCTGTCCCCGACTCTTAGGGCAGATCACCTCAGGGTACCTGTGAGTCTGGCCCAGGCTTAAGTCCCTGCAGCTGTGGTAGCAGGGCCTGCAGGGGCTTGTCGGTTCTTGCCTCAGTGGACTAAAGGCCACTGTGGATGGGGGCAGAGGGGCCACCTCGTGGGTACTGTTGCTCACTGTGGCTGCACACCTGTGCACACCTGGCCTAGCTGTTCCTACTCCCCCACCCCGCCACCCTCCATCTTCTCTTACAGAATTGAATCACTCTTGTAGGGTTCTGGGCCACAGGAACCCTAAGAGGGCTGCGGAAGCCTCGTAAGACGGTCTTTTCCTGCTTTACTTTCTCTCAAAATTAGCATCATTGTCTGAGGTGGGAACTAGGACTGCAGCAATGAGCAAGACCAAGACGGCAGTCTGGACAAACCAAGGTGCATAGATC